GGCAGGGACCCCTTCCACTGGAGCAGCTTGCTCCAAGCCCCTGTGTCCAACCTGGCCTTGAGCACTGCCAGGGATGGGGCAGCCACAGCTTCTCTGCGCATCTCCAAAGGTGGTGCTGGCTCCTGACACTGTCCTGACGCTTTTCACAAGGGTGCAGCTTTCCAATATTTCATTTATTTTAATATGAGCATCAGTTATCCAAGATACCTGGCAACAGACAGCCCAGAGGGCTCGGCTCGCAAGAACAGATGTGACTGCTAAATAAGCCCACGTACGGCTCCACTATCCCACCCCACTCTTATGACATATTTGATCTAATCAGAATGATTTAGAGGCCAAAGAGCGAGGGGGGGAGCAATAGGATGGATACAGAGACAGCTGCCCTAAAAGTCCATTTATGATAGCGATAAGAACTGATGCACAGGAGGTGACTCAAAGCCAGGTCCCCAAGCCTCAAGGGGTTTCAGTAAGAGCCCCGGTGCAGAGCTGCCTCCTCACCCAGGACTTCACTGGAACCTCATGTTCACCACTGCCAAATGCCTCTGTCAAAAACCTCAGCTCTCACATCCCGCATAGATTTGCCTTAAGAAATACAGCACCGTGTCCCCCGAAACAAGGACATCCTCAGGACAGAGGAAAACGCAACCAGATAAAACAAAAGCTGGAGCGAATATTGCCAGCCTCAGGCAGAAGCAGCTCCCACCTACCGCAGTTCTCCTGGAGCATCCCGATCGCCGAGGTCCTGCTCTGCAGCCAGCAGCTGTGTGGCTCAGAAACAGTTAAACCACCACCGACGTCAAACCGACACGGGCAACTGCGTTAGGGCTCTGCAGGGACCAGCTCTGCAGGGACCACGTGGAGCAATGCCAGGGGCTGCTCCGACCGTCGCAAGATCCCCGTTTCCATAACGTGAGTCCCCGGGCGAGGGGAATACCGGCTCCGGAGCTCAGTGATTCATCCCGGCTTGTAAAAACAGGAGACGTGGAAGTCTCTTTGTTTCGCTGGCTGCTGCACAGGCGAACAAGCCTCTCTTTGTGCGGCGCTCCGGCTATTTTAAAGCACGTTAAACAAAGGAAGTTCCAGCGAAAGACTAAACAGCTCGGCACCACTTAAGGGAAACATCACGTACGAAGAGAACAAGATTCGGGGCTGATGGCCGGGTAGGAGATGGGGGAGCAGCGTGGAGGCTGTGCAGCGCGGCACATACGCCGCTGGCACTCGGCCCCACACCGCACTCGACCTCCACCACTCCACCGAGGAGTTTACATTAGGGTCCAGATGTTTATTTAGCCACTGGCTCCTGAACGCTAGGTGCGGCCTCGCTCCTCTTTCTGACCAAAATGCCCTTGGAAAAACAAGCAAAATGACATCAGTTGTGTTTATCTTAACAGCTTCGGGCCCACAAGCAACCAAGATAGGAGTGTGGAGCCCCAGCCGCTGCCCCAAAACGGCCTTGGGTGGCAAGGTTTGGGTTGGGTTATCCAGCACTTGGGAGTAACGGAGACGTCTCCAAGAGCTGAAAGAAGAGAGCTTAAGGATTTAGTCTGCAGCGGTGGCAGGGAACTGGCTGGGTGTTGAAAGTTCCGAGAGCACAAGGCAGGCACCCTGACGACAGCACCTCTGCCTACTCAGAATCAAAACATCCCCACAGACCACAAATTACGTTATCTGCCCATTTACTTACTCAATGGACTGTAAAAAGCTCTGAATAAGACTGAATTTAAGGGGGTGGAAAGGTGCTGCTTGGGTCTGTTCTATATATCCATTTTACCTGTGCTCTGGGCTCTATTCTGCATGGACCAGCAGGCAGATGTTGAGATGAACACATTTTCTCCATCCTTCTTTTCTATAGCATGTTCTAAAAACTTGGAGCTGGCCAGACCAGCTTCAGCTGGGAAAAATGCTTGCTCCTTTTTATGACCCCGGGGATGGATGATCCTGTCCTCCCCAGATCCCAAATTAGGAAATAGAGCCGAGGGGTCCTGCAGGACAAGTGGGGCTGCGGACAGCTGCCTATGTCAAATGCAGCATTACAGGGTGGCCACCAAGAGAGAAAATCCCCTGTCTTTTATCAGCAGGCTCATGACTCACAAATCCTTCAGAGCCCCAGCAGTTGCCTGAGCTGGAAGCTGCAGAGGGAGATAAATGCAGGGAAAAAAAGCCTGTATGTGTTATAATGAGGTAAATATGTGCTGCCTGCTTCTACAGGCAACGCTGAGCGCCTCTGAGCTTTCTGCAGGTCATTCTGTTTCACTGCAAACTGCAGTGCCATACCCTGCTCACAGCAAAGGATAGTGTTAGGAAATCAATTCCCTTCACGTCGGTGGCATTCCCTGCAAGCAGGGAGCTTTCCAGGCAGTTAGTTAGGAAGTTAAGGCATCGTGCATGGGATGTTGGTCTGTAGCTGGAGCAGGGACTCTGCTCTGGTAAATGCGTCAGGACTCATGGATGCTGCCAACACACCCAGGGCACAGAGTTCCCCTCTGTTATGTCTGATCCCTGCACTGGCACTGCAGGGTCCCACTGTGTAGGCAGCGCTGCTCCCCTGGCTCACGCTGATGTCAGTGCAACCAGGCTGTTAGCTCACAGCAAGATGAGCTCCTCATTTCCTCACTCCTCCTGTAATTAACTCACACCTTCCAAAAAGCACACGCACATGTTTGAACCCATGCCTTCCAAACCCCATCAGCTTAGAGGCAGGATGCATCCCACATGGCACCCCCCCCCCCTTCCCCCTTCAGCGATTCCTTTCTGGAGCAGGACTTCTGAGAAGCCCCCTGCAAACACGTATGCCGCCATCCTCCCCCTCTGCCTCGCTGTTGTTGCAACTCTGGGTTTTCTAAACTACGTCTGTCAGGAAGGAGACAGGAAATTCGAGTCACACTTGCAACAGCTGTGCCATGCCTACTATCAGTCGCAAATGACGTAGTTTGGCTTGGGTGGCGTGGGGCCAGGAACTCGGCGGAGCGGAGGTCAGGGAGATAGGTCACTGTTTATACTGCTCTGCGCTTGGGAGCATGCCGAGCCCATTTGCTTTCTTCCTATCTCTACTGTTTCTCTTTCCGTTTTTCTTCAATAACGTGGAGCCCAAGCATCCTGTTTTCAAAACATCGGGCTCGTTTGCTGTTTATCGGTGACAAATTCAAATGCCTCTGAGCGGAGCTGGCACTTGAATGGGTCCCTTGGCTCCGGGGCAGGCAAGGACCGCTGCAGCCTCCTCCTCAAGAGGCACATTTCAAACCCAGCAGCTTCTCACACTGCAAGATCGCCCTGCAGATAGCGTCTGCCACCAAAACCACAAACTCCCAAACGAATGTGTGTCCCTATTCATCACTGATGAGGAAAGGAACCGAGCTCTGAGGCCATTTTAGGCTTCTCGTTCGCAGATGAAAATGATACTGGAAGTTGACCAAAAAGCGCAGACATGTCAGAAACTGGTTGTGAAAGAACAAAGTTTGGGGAACCTTTTGCTCGACTGTGCTCTAAATCGCTTGCACATGGAGGGATGACAACTTTTAATCACTACCATAAGCAATCTAGTGAGCCTTTCACCTTCACAAGTCCAGCTTTGGCGCTCAGCGGGAAGAAAATCAACTCCAAATGAAGGGCTTTAGTGTCCGCACTGGAGGTGCAGCCTCCTCTGCAGCCTGAACCTGTTCCAGCTTTCACCCTGGCTTCCCTCAACACAAACTCAGGAAAAAAAACTATATTCCTTGCTTGAAAGCTGGGTCTATAAAACTTTTATTGCTTCCTTTGCCCCTGCACATCGCGGTAATCGCAAACAGCGGAGGAAGCTGAAATAACACGGGATTCCTTAGCTCAACTTTTTCCATAAAATCAAGTTGGTGATTCAGCATTTCATTAATTCCCAATTAATGGGGAAAAAAAACAGTAATATCGGGTTCCTGCAGCACAACTCGGACCTGGGTTTGACCATGGCCACTGGTCAAAGGCATGGCTGCAGCAGGCACAGCCCCTGTCCCAAAGGCGGGGGAGCCACCCTGGGGCTGTGACCCTCTCCATGGGACAAGGCACGGGTGTAAACGCTGCCTTAAAGCCTGGGTGCAAACCCGGGCTTGCCAAACCAAGGCAGAGATGGGGGCAGCTGCCAAGCGCTGCCCCAGGGGAGGGAGCGACTCCTTCCAGCAGCATCACCCGGGCGACTTACGGTCTGCCCTGGGGAGATGCTGCAGAGAAGCTTGGCTGATGCTTTGGCTCGGAGGGACAGAGCTGGGGAGCCCGGCTCCAGCACCGGGGGGGATGTGGGGGTGTGGAGGAGGAACATCAACTTCCAGCACTTCACCAAGGTGTTCAGACCTCGCACTTGGCTTTCCCTCCCCTCTGCTGCTCCTCAGTGTACTCCTGGGACTCTGCTCTCCCTCCTGCTCCTGACTCGCCGCACAACGCACTGTTCTGTATGTCAGCACCTCACTCCTCGCAGCGAACTCAATCTCCCTTTTCGCTCACGGCGCATTAAAACCCCCCCAAAAGACGAAAATAAGGTGGCGGGAGGCGGGGGAGCAGCTCCTTCCCGCTGCACAGTGCTTGACTTCGCACCCTCCTCATGTGCTGGCAAGCGGTGCGGAGCCAGCCCACCACATTCACCCCCAAATTAAAAGCTTACCGAAAGGACAGAACAGCAATAAAACAACGCACCACTATGGTTAGAGTTTGCCGTTATTACGGACAGGCAACAATGAAGATAACTGAAATCGGATGGGATAATTTGTTAAAAGCGGCGGTTTTTACAGTGTTTCTGGTTAAATCGGTTCCGAAGGGACCGGCGCTCATTGAAAGCTCTCTGAGTTCTCAGGAGCGAGTCCTGGTTCGTTACGGGGAAGTCAGAGAGGTGCGGGTCGCTCTCCCCGTACTGCCCCACCGCCAGTTTTATCCGACGGTGCCACTGCGGGGGAACCCCGCATCTATTTCCCGGGAGTAACTTGCAGTTACTGTCCCGCACATCTCGCTGCCGCGCACCGCATCCCCGCCGCTCCGCTCACCTTGTTGGATGCCATCTCACTGACGGAGCGGTAGGTCTGGATGGTCTCCAGCTGATCCAGGCACCAGTCGAGCTCCTCCAGCGTCTCCATGGCCAGCTTCTGGTAGGGCTCCTCTGCGAAGAGGCACACGGACATGTACTCGGGCTGGCGCGGCTGCAGGCTCTCCATGCCGGGGCCACCGCCAGCGCCGCCGGAGGTGCCGCACCGCTCCCTCATCATGCGGCCGCCGCTGCGCTCCCCTCGCCGCCGGCGAGCAAATCCCCGCCCGCCGCTGGCACCCGGCACGGCCCCGGCCCCGGCCGCCCGCCCCGGCCCGCCCCGGCCAGGCCCCGCCCTGCCCCCGCGGGATGGGGAACCGGGCGCCCCCGGGCAGGGCAGGACCGGGTCGGGATGCGGGAGCGAAGGGTGCCCGGCTGCTGCGGGGCCCGGGACAACCGCGCTGCGCCTGCCCGCGATGCTGGTCCTGCGCCAGCCCCGCTCCACAGCCTCTCCCGCTCCTGCTCCCCATCAGCCCCGCTCCACAGCCTCTCCCGCTCCTGCTCTCCCCATCGGCCCCGCTCCACAGCCTCTCCCGCTCCTGCTCCCCATCAGCCCCGCTCCACAGCCTCTCCCGCTCCTGCTCTCCCCATCGGCCCCGCTCCACAGCCTCTCCTGCTCCTGCTCCCCATCAGCCCCGCTCCACAACCTCTCCCGCTCCTGCTCTCCCCATCAGCCCCGCTCCACAGCCTCTCCCGCTCCTGCTCCCCATCAGCCCCGCTCCACAGCCTCTCCCGCTCCTGCTCTCCCCATCGGCCCCGCTCCACAGCCTCTCCTGCTCCTGCTCCCCATCAGCCCCGCTCCACAACCTCTCCCGCTCCTGTTCCCCATCAGCCCCGCTCCACAGCCTCTCCGGGTCCTGCTCCCCATCGGCCCCGCTCCACAGCCTCTCCCGGTCCTGCTCTCCCCATCAGCCCCGCTCCACAACCTCTCCTGGTCCTGCTCTCCCCATCAGCCCCGCTTCACAACCTCTCCCGGTCCTGCTCCCCATCAGCCCCACTCCACAGCCTCTCCCGGTCCTGCTCCCCATCAGCCCCGCTCCACAACCTCTCCTGGTCCTGCTCCCCATCAGCCCCGCTCCACAACCTCTCCTGCTCCTGCAGCCCACCAGCTCCACACTTCAACCCTGCCTGGTCCTGCAACCTAGCTCCAGAAGCCTTGTACCCCAGCCATGTCTAGTCCCGCTCCCCTCCAGCCGTCCTCCCTATCCTGAACAGCCCTGCTCCCCAGCCCTGTTTGGTCTTGGCTTTCCAGCCCCACCAGTCCTGCTCCCCAACCCTGCTAGCCCTTGTCCCTAATCCTGCCTGGTCCTGCTCCCCAGTGCCACCAACCATCATCCCTGCTCCTGTCAGTCCTGGCTCTTCAGCTCTGCTGCCGTTGCTCCAACCGGCCTTGACCATGCATCCCGCCAGCCCCACACCTGATGGTACCACTGCAGTGCTATTCTACTGTGCTCCCCCAGGCCCTGCACCCCAACCCTACCAGCCCTGTTCCCTGCTCCCACCAAGTTCTGCTGCTTGACCCTGCCACAGGACAACGTGTTCCTGAGCAGCTCTCAGCACAGAAGTTCGGGTTTACATAAGCGGATACAGTGAATCATAAAACCTCCCCATGCTTGTAATGCATCTCATAACAGCGGTGACATGTGCTTACCACATAAATCTGCCAAAGTTAATGGATTCAGCATTTCTGATGGCACTGGCCAAGCAGGTAACAGTGACATCAGAGGTCAGGATTGCTGCGATAGACTGGCAGCAACACATCTGCTGTGCAGTGCACACACTGCAATCACATATGTCTGGTGTGTGTACACCCATGTCATCCCTGTCACACACTGGTAGGGGCTGCATGGGGTGTGCTCCTCCTTCCATGGCCCCCAAGTCCTTGGGAGAGGAACCACACCTCAAGCTGCCATCCATCCAATCCACCTGCCTTCACAGGGAGAGATTCTCCTCATTCCCCATCCCCATCCAGCACTGCACAGCATTAAAAGTTCTGTGTAGACACCATGTGTTCATCATAGAATCCCAGACTGCTTTGGGTTGAAGGGACCTTCAAGATCATCCAGTTCCAACCCAGCCTGTACATACAGTCCCAAGCCCCTCTCCAGGTTTCCTGCAGCCCCTTTAGGCACTAGAGCTGCCCTAAGGTCTCCCCTTAAGAAGCCTTCTCTTCCCATGGCAGACAAAGAACCACTGCCAAGGAGTAACTCAGCAATGAACTCACAGGGAGCACTTGGCACAGGCACACTTTAAAGATTCAGTAAATCTGAACCTTTGTGGCACTGGAAGTTAATGTTTTCTCTGGGCTCACAGAGCTCCAAACATGGCAAGTAATCTCAGTCTTGCATACTTGCGTGATGCATACATCAAAAAGCAGGTGGCAATAGCCAAAACTCACAGGCCTGGGGTGTATTTTCCTTTCTAAGACACTGGTTCTCTATCAGCTACTTTATCATGGCAATGAGTTGACCTGGAAGGGCTCAAATTCCTTGTAATAGAAAACGTTTGCATTGATAAAACTAACATGGGCTAAATCATGATTTTAGGAATAGGGAAAACAATCTCCTTCGCCCAACTGAAGAGGAGCTGCCCGTACGTTTAACTAAGGCACTGTGAGGCATCCCATGTGTCCTCTGGTTCCAAGGGGATCACAGAGGGCAGAGTCTGTGACACCAGACCCTAATCTAGCCCTTTGGGGTTCTCCAGCCTTGGGCAGGGTCAGGGTTGTGGGACCCACTGTCCCAGTGGCTCCTCCTAAAGCTTCCATTCACTTAAATCTCTGAAAGAGCCCCTCAGAACAGAAACCAAACCTCAAGATTCATAGAATCCCAGCCTGGTTTATGTTGGAAGGGATCATCCAGTTCCAACTTACAGCTCAACCAGCTCCAACCCCTGCCACGGGCAGGGACCCCTTCCACTGGAGCAGCTTGCTCCAAGCCCCTGTGTCCAACCTGGCCTTGAGCACTGCCAGGGATGGGGCAGCCACAGCTTCTCTGGGCACCCTGTGAGCTCCAGAGCTGGTGATGGGGCCAGGCTATTCCCTTGGTTTGTTTGTTCAGTTTTGGGTAATAAAAGAAGACAAAATAAACCAAAACAAAACGCAGAAACAAGGAAGGAGGGTGCATATCCAGCGCCATCCTTCCATGTGAGCTGCTCTGCTGCTCCACTTCAGGAAGACCTGAGCAGTGAGGGGGGGTCCCTCCAGGCTGAAGCCTCCTTTGCCCAAGTAAAAGCATTATCACTCACAGAGGCCTTTTCAGCAAAACCATTTAGAGGACAATAGAGGGAGGATTTAACTGCAGATGTTTTGAGAACTGCCACTTAGAGTATCTCCAGTCCTTCCAGTGGCAAAGATGGAGTAGGGTGATAGTGACCAGTTCTGGCTAAGTACCATTTTAAGACAGAAAAAAGGCTGTTCAGGAGGTGTTTGGGGCCCACCCTACAAGTGTATTTCCATCTAAAAGCACTTTTCCTTCAGAACTTGCTTTGGCTGACACTACCCACCCTGCCCATTCCCATCGAGCTGCCCACAGCCCCTCCTGGGTCTGGGGACCCGGGAAAGCTGCATCACCCCATCCTGGAATGGCTCTTCTGAAATTCCTCAGTGTCTCCTGGGATTGCCTGATCTAAGGGTTTGTTCACTCATTTCCTTAAGTAAAGGAGTCCTGAGAAGGGAGGTTTTGATCATGTGTGTGCCTCCTTCCAGCAGCATGCATGCATCTCAGCTCCTGCATCCTCCTTGGTCCTCAGCCCTTCTGCTGCAGGGGTTTAGCTCCATTTCCTCGGCCAGTAGCTCCATCAAACATATCACATTCCCATGAGTTCCAAGAAATCGGTCAAGCAGAATAGAAATCGTCCTTCTCGACTGAAGGAGGACACACTGAGCTCAACTCTTCCTAGAAACTCAGTAACTGTCCCCAGTGCCACTTTCTACGTAATCCAGGCTGAGACCAATCAAACTGGAAACCCCAACTGTTATCTAAGCAGCCTCCTTGGGCAGGGACAGCTGTTAACTCTATTGTGTTAAATTGGTGCGAACATTTACAGATGCATCCTGAAAGCAGTGGCTACAATTCCACAGATCAGGCTAAAACTGCACCAGGCATTTCCAGCAGGAGAAATTAAAATACATGCTCCAAGAACCCAGTGAAATGCTGTAAACTATTCAAAGCCAACATTCGGGTGTAACACCAACTAGAAACTGCTCTTCTAGGAATGTAATACCTTTCTACAGGAATGATCTCAAGGGAATAACATGGATTTTTATAGAACCCCAGCCTGGTTTGGGTTGGAAGGGAGCTTAAAGCTCATCCAGTTCCAACCTCTGCCATGGGCAGGGACCCCTTCCACTGGAGCAGCTTGCTCCAAGCCCCTGTGTCCAACCTGGCCTTGAGCACTGCCAGGGATGGGGCAGCCACAGCTTCTCTGGGCACCCTGTGCCAGCGCCTCAGCACCCTCACAGGGAAGAGCTTCTGCCTAAGAGCTCAGCTCAGTCTCCCCTCGGGCAGGTTCAAGCCATTCCCCTTGGCCTGTCCCTACAGGCCCTTGGCCAAAGGGCTTTTTCTAACCTTAATAGTTAATATTCATGGACATATACCACCTTAATCACACTCAACTATGTTAACATTAACCATACATTTTGATACTGATAAGGGCGACCATACTTCAGAGCAGAACCCAACACAGTCACTACCAGAAGGGGCAGCTCCTTTCTTCCACCCTGCTCAGTGGTCCCACAGCATCTCCCCTACAGATGGCACAGCCAGTGCTGTGTTCAGTACAGCACAATACACAAGATACATTCTTGACATCCCGTGATCAACCAGCACTCAGTGCCATGGGTTAGTGGTGGCCTTGGCAGTCCTGGGGTAATGGTTGGGCTTGATGATCTTAAAGGTCTTTTCCACAGTTGATTCTATGATTGTATTCTATGATTCCTTGACTGCCTGCTTTGATAGAGGTGGCCGTGCAGGGCAGGGGAGGGACTGGAAGCAGTGGTAGGGTTAAAAATGCAAGCAGAGGAACCCTATAAAAGCAGATGGGGAGAAAAAGAAGAGGTGGACAGGGAGAAAGAG